GGTGACTCTATGCTGCAATTACTAAACTTTTGCTTTATTCTTCAAATGTTCAATGACACATGATTGCAAGTATTTGATATAAACTACATGTACTTATTGTCAATCATTAAAAACTGGTCAAACCTGTTTCTTCTGGTGTCTTTGGTCTTTGTGTCATCATTGCAATAGGACTCTCCCTCCCTCCCTCTCTCCTCCTCTTCCTCTCTCCTCTACTGATATCAACTTTCATTGGTACTTCACTAGATACAGCAACTTGTTCATCTTCTTCTTCTTGTATGACAGTATCATCATCTACCAGTGATAGCTCCTGCATGCATGAACACACACATGCAAGCATAATTAATGAGATACAGATAAATGTACTTATACCAACTGTGCAGTATATGTAGTGACCAGTGTGTGTGTGTGTGTGTGTGTGTGTGTGTGTGTCTGGAGGTGAGTATCAGTAATGTAATACCTGAGTCCCTTGATATCTGCCCTCAGCTTCACCTCAAGCAGATATCTCAGTCCTCAGGTATTACATTACTTATACACACACACCTCCAGACAGGCTGCAGGTCATTATATTGTTATATTGTCATTATTATTGCAGGTCATTGATTGTGTAAAGTTCTAATTACACAATTTTAAAAGAAATTTTAAAAACTTGTAATAATTAAAAAATAATAATAATTTTTCTTACTATGCAGTGACTGTATCAGCAAAATTAAACTAATAATGGCCATTAACAATACAGTATAAAAGAAATAATTAATAACTAACAAACAACAAGACGATCATTACTAGTATCACAAACATACAATACTCCATCTTTATCAAATGCTAATCCATAAGGAGCACGAAACTGATCAATATTACTGCCTTCACTTCCAAACTTCCTAACAAACACACCATCACTAGTGAAGACTGATATACGATGATTGCCCCATTCACTAACATACACTTGACCAGTAGCTGCAGTGTCTATTGTTATACCATTAGGACTATTAAGCTGTCCAGGACCAGATTCTTTAGTACCAAACTGACCCACAAAGTTTCCATCTGGAGAGAACTTCTGAATGCGATGATTATTCATATCAGTAACATACACTAATCCTTGACTGTCAATAGCAAAGTCACGTGGAGACCGAAACTCTCCATTAGCTGATCCTCCACTACCAAATGAATGAGAGAAGGTTAGATCAGGATTCAAGACTTGTATACGATTATTAGCATTATCAGCAATATAAACCTGTCCTGTTATAGGAGAAATGGCTATACCATCAGGAGTACTGAATTGTAGTTGTCTACTGCCCAGTCTGCCCTTCTCACCAACTGATGCTATAAGGTATCCATCCATGCTTATCTTCTGGATCCTGTGATCATCAGATACAAGAAGGAATTTGTCTGGAGTAATGGCTACACCACGAGGACAGTAAAACTTGACATTACCACTTCCTCCTTCCCCTCCTAATGATTTAACTTTCTTTCCTTCTCTATCCAGTATTGTTACACAGTGACCTTGATTCTCAGTTATTATAACATGATTATCATCAGTTACAGCAACTCCCCAGGGACGCTTAAGTTCAATTATAGTACGTACTGGAGTGATGTTATCAAGGTAAGGATTGAAAGGGATGACTAGTGAGGTATCCTCAAGGTGTACATCATATACTTGTACTTTTACTGTATGAGTACCACTGGTTGAAGGGTTACACTGTATCCTATACACTCCAGGATCAGTGCTGGTGGTAGTGACTGTAGTGTCAATGGGTTCATCACCTTTACCAACTGCTACTAGACTACACCTCAGAGAAGAGACGGGAACACACAAAACAGATGAATCTGGTGCCTCCATTGATAGTGAAAACAAAACTGCTTTGCCAGCAGGTGTAATACAATCAATCTCCTTCACTCTATACTGCTGCAGTGAGACAATATCTCCAATGTGATCTAGCAATTTGATATCTTTACTCAACACAAAGTCAGCCTTTTCTTTTGGATGTAACTCCTCCACATCGATCCCTCCAGTAACTTCACTCATACGCTCCATCATCTGTTTCTTACACCTCAGGACTTGTTGAGGACTGCCTGTCTTCAGACTCTCTTCCACATAATCCTCAACATCCTCCAGAACACTCAAACTCATTTCTACTGATTTCATTTGCTCTGACAGCACCTTTAGCTTATCATCAGTGACCCTCTTTGCCTGCTCAGTCAGTTTCCTCTCTGACTCACGAAGAACATTCATCATTTCCTCTACCATTTCATGTATTTCTTCTAAGACTCCTTCTCCTCTCTCTCTGATCTCACCCTCTCTCTCTGCTAGAGCAGACAGGACCTTCTTGAGTCCATCAATTTTCCCTTTTACCGGATTAAGAGATTTCTCCAGTGCTTCTTTGTGTTTAGTAAAACTATCAGCTATTAGGTTATACTTGTGATCTTTATGAGCCAGCATGATACAATCACGACAGATAGATTCATCACATGTGTCACAGTGATACCTTAATGAATCTTCATGACCAGGTACAGAGCAAGTGAGAGTTTCCTCCTGTTTAGCTGGAGCTAGCAATTGAGAAGCAGAAGAGACATCAGAGGCTGTCACCTCATCAAGAC